GAAAGCGAAAGCGTTTGTAATATTCTTGTGGCAAAGAATACGAGAAATTCTTGGGATAAAATTCATTGCTCTTTTCTTTATGATTAACGGTACTCAAGTAAATGCTGTCAAATCAGAAGGATCTACAAGAAAAATACACACTAAGCTTATATCTCCAAGAACGAAGAGCACAACGCGATACTGAGAAAGTGAGCGAGAAGGATTGTGGGTACTTCACASAACACACAGGTATCCCAAATAACTACCGGGATTATTAAATAGTTTTAAAAATCTACTAAAACAATATGAATTAATTGAAAGAAAAGTCGCTACAAGCAGAAACAAAATGTATACACACAATGAGAAATGGGAGAAAATTATACGTGCTCTGTCTAATTAATTTCAAACAAAAAATTACCTAAGACATAGCCTATATAGCCATCTCTACCGGGATTATGATATTAAACTTGAGTAAAGATCCGGAGGAATAACCCAATAACGAAGATTAGTAGGAATTTAATTGGGAAATCTCGATTAATTGATACTAGATTGATAAAGATGTAAGTACAATTCAGTTCAAGTTCGAACWGAGGACGACACACATTTTCTGCAGTGCGCACATCTATATGACATAGTTATTTGCAATCCACATTATATTACCAAATCAAAGAAATAAATGAAATCTGAATGTRCTATTTTACTTTGTTCTCCATAGTAGACTTGTGGCTGCACAGAACTTTGCTAATGCGAATGATTTTGTGTTTCCTCTCCCTACCTCTACGAACCTCTCTACCCCTCGTCCTCCATCCCCCCTCTCTTTAGTACAAGCTGTTCTACTAATGTGGCACGGTATCGTTTGATACACAACTGACCGAAGTCAAATCAGGGGTCACCGGTGCTTATCAGGCTAACCTCCAACGAATACGCGTGGGCCCTTGGGGCTGCTTACCCCMTACCTTGCCAAGGAGATTCCCTGCAGAGAGAACATACAGTGTTGTAAATTGTCTCATAGTCGATCTTTATATTGACAGCCACTGATTTCAATTGCACCTTAATTACATTTAATGAAGAACTTATGAGTTAATTTATAATTTCGAGTGATATATTTTAGTGTCTTTTTGTGTAAAATTAATAGCTAGACAGAATAACACGATGTGTCATTACACTCACACTTGTTTAGACTGTTTAGTCTTATAAAACAGGAAATTGTAGTAGGTGAAATACTTGTTTCGTCTATCAATTCTTTATTATTGGTTTTCACAAAAGAAAATACGGTTGCTAACCTAATGTAAACCTATATGATTACAGTGTGTTTTCCGCGTGTACGAAGTGGTATTTCTCAGTCAAAAATTCAGTGTCGGATTTACACAATGCGTTTTCGCGCGCGAGTTGCCGTATATATTAGAATCATTCCGGATTTTGGCCTRTGTTTAAAAGATAATCTATACTTCTTCCATCGATCCAACCAGTTCACTGGTTAATTGTCTGCGTGTATCTATATGAAGCAGAACAAGTGTTCCCAACAAGATCGGGGTCAGTTGTGAGCCTCGTTTGAGAGCACAGAATAGTTTTAGTTCGAGAACGCAAGAGCCGATTGACAAGGCGAAACACAAATGTAATGGTACCTTTTGATATCCAGCAATAGAGCGCTTTGCATCCTCGGGCATGATATGAAGAACTAGACCTATTTTTAGTGAAGTATGCTATTTAGAGATTTGTTGGATTCCCRGCGGTGCCCCAAGGCGATTTGTTTGAGAGARAATAGAAAATTTAAACGGTTAAACAATTCAAACACAGAGGAAGTAATCCAGCAGATGATKCTCRCCAAAAATGGCGAATCGACTGATAATTCTTTACGGATGGCATTAGTACAACAAACAGAGACTTTGTTTTTACAGTATGCAA